TAAATGAGTATCAGAAAAGTGTCAGAATTATTTACATCTATACTCATTACAGGTCAGTTCTGTAGAAAGGGTTGCCCATTCAGGGAAAAGTGGCAATGCCTTTGAAAAGGGCCTCCAATATTTCCATCTACTAGCCAGTGACTGGACAGTGAAAGGAGAAGCAGCAGATTGATGGGCTAAGCCCTCTCATTCTGCTCTCTTCTTCTATCAACATGTACCTAGATTGCACATGAATACTTCAGCACAGTTGTTTGGCATCTTCCCTTGTCTGTACTCTGTCATATAGGAGAATTGCAAAAGGCTAGCGCCAATTCAATTTCAAGTACTTAACCGACTTGTATTAAAAAAAAATACATAAATGATGTATTATTGTAGAGCTGCATTCATTTGTGTCTTTTTTATCTGCCTGGAGTTCAGCTTTAATAACATATACATTACAAAGTTGTTATTCTGTTTTTGTTTTATTGTTGGAAAACAATTTAGTGTAAATTGCAATTTATATGTAATTGTTTTTTTTTAATCTATGATTATCTTAATTTTGAAAATTCGCTCAGCAATAAACTGCTGCTCAATCACCCCCTATAAATTTAGATGTCATCTGCCCTCCTGCTAACCATAAATCATGAATGTCATTTTTATTTATTTATTTAACCTCAGCACTCTATTACAGAATGTAAATCCTGGCACAGAGGTCAAAGTGACTTATGGTTTTCAGGTGGAAATTTATAACTTTTATTTCCCATCTATGTCACCTTCCTTAATGAGGATGACATTATATTTTGCAGTAGAGGAAAAAAAAACTCAAGTTGAGTTTATTAAGCTGTCACCTAGTGGATAATGAAGCTTTGCAGAGGCAGACACTGGGTTGGTAGTAAGAAATCGTCTTTGAAAAAGGTTAAGAAAAATGCGAAAGGTTAGGAAAAATTAGGCGTCTTCGTCTGGAATTTCTTACCATGCTGTAGAATTTTGAACTCATTAGGATAATGGCTTAATGCTATCAATATGCTATCTCAGTCTACATATATAAGCAAGAGAAGTTAGAAAGTTATGTCCTCTGTACCACCTAGGATCCCTCATTCAACTTTAAATTCTATTAAAGCTGACTTTCCATGAAAATGGAAGGTCTCCATAGTTGACAGTCCCGCACCACCTGTATAAAAAGTGCCTACACATTTGCAAAAAATGCAGCACTTTTAGAAAAGAAATTAATTCTTGCATTGGAACCTATCTTCCGACACATTCAGGAGATGCAGGTCACATTACTGTGCCTCAGCACTGCATGGAGTGAGAGCTAGATGTCAACATCTAATAAGAATTTGACAATTCTCACAGAATTATGAGCTCCAAGGCTCTCCTGGTATACCACTGTGAGGTACTGTGACATCATCTGCATCTCCAGCAGGCGTTGAAAGCCAAATTCTAAATTAAAGTGGTTGTAACCCTTTACATATACACAGTGAAGTGACTAGTCTAAAGCGATACACAGAGATGAAACAAATCCTTCTTCATAAATTGTATCTGTTTATCTATAGCCATCTTTCCCCTGAAACCATTCAAAGTGCAGAATTTACACAGGATTTCTCAGCTCTGCAAAGCAGGGGTTGGAGAACTGAAGTTACATCAGTGAGGAGAGCTCTGAGAGCTGATTAGAGGGAAGGGACACACAGCACACAGGGACAGAGCTGGAGCTGTCAGTCACAGGCTGTGCCCTCCCCATTTTTCTCTTGGTGTCATGAAAACTCATCAGAAGGGACTCATGCATATTGCAGGGGAATGAAGCAGTGGACAGAAATGACACTTAGTACTCTGGATTGAGACACACTATAGAGGGATATGCTTTCTGCATATTTCATCTCTGAGGATTACAACCACTTTAAGTATATTTTTTTATACTTCCTTTTACAAATATGTTAGATTACATGATGCTACTGGGTCCTTTTCCTCTTTGCCTTTTTTCTGAACTGATCCTCATTGATTCAGAGAGTGGCATTGGCATTGCTCTCTGCACCATTACATATTGGTTGTAGGGCACCTTGAAGATGCCCTCTTTTGGGTTGAGTATTATTTAACCGTGAAGTCTGAGTATATCTTTTGACAGAGGAGAATTACTGCAAGAGACACCTCCAGACTGAATGTCAATATTGAACCTGAGCTGCATTGTTACGTTTTGCAGAGGCAGAGGGACTGCTTTTTTTTTTTTTTTTTTTTAATGTAGCCCAGGATTGGGTTTTAGGTAACAAAGCATGCATGAGAATGACAGACCTGAAGCTTGCACCTTCAACTACAAGTCAGTGTAGATCCTTTATAGTTATCCTTGCCCCTTCCCTTTTAGACTAGACAGAGAATGTAGTATCCTGGCAAATGAAGAGTAGGGATGTCTTAGGTTTCCATTAAAATCTTATTGTTTAATTCCCTCTATTTTTTTCTCAACCTACAATACCTAATTTATGTAGAATATTTACAGAGGTCCTTTCAAGGACAACTCACGTTTAAATTATAATATCCATATAAATTACAATGAAGAAGTTATTTAATTTGTAAAAATGATTTTGAATGATTTTTTTGTGTTTGCTTTCTGGCTTTGGCAGGGCTAGTAATTTAAAAATTTGCAGATCTTTGATTCCTGGCACCATGACAGGTTTAGTTTCTGTATTGGCTTGTTCATGTGTCACATGTGTCAGAATGACTCACTGAAACACTCCTGGCATCACTGGAATCCCTATTATAAATAATATATCTTATGGTATTAAAAGTGTAAGTTGGCAGAGCTGTAAGGCCCCTTTCACAAGGGCTTTCCAGTTAGGCCTGCCTGTCAGTTTTTCAGGCAGACCAGATCTGAAGCTCCATGCAGCTCTATGAGCAGGCAAATTGACTGGTGTCCATTTACAACTACCTACCTCTGATTCTTCCCAGGTCCAGGTCTGGACTGCATCCTTTTTGTTTTTCCAGGACCTAAATGTGGCAGATTGAAGGTAGCCTGATGTAAACAGACACATGTCTGTTTACAACTGGCCTGTATAGATCAGCGGTGGTCAATATTTTTGATATGAGGAGCCTCAAGTGTTGCCCTCTACATCACCAAAGGGCCACACATAAAATTCAGTGAATATTCAGCGTCAGAGTTAGCAGACACACAACACGATATAGTCAAAGACTTTAAGCTTGATACGAGAGATGGTAAGAGATTACATAACACTGGTCAAAGACTGCAGATGTGATACAAGAGATGGCCAGAGACTGCAGATATAGGACACGAGGTGGCCAGCAATGGAGAACATGCTGAAGGAGACTATCAGAAACCGTGAACATGCTATAGGAGTTGTTGTAGGCATGCTTCAGGAGACAATCATTGACAAGAGACATGTTATATGAGACTTCTAGAAATAGCTGCTATAACAGGATGTGTGGTCCAGACTGAGAATATATTTACCAAATTCCTGCCCTAGGAACAGCATAGGAAGTATGGAAAACTTCTAAACCCTAAAACCTAAAAAGGTTTTATGGTGAAGTGACTACTTCAAAATGAACGTATTACTAAAACTTTTTTTGTAGCTTTGTATAGAGTGTGGAATGGAAGAATCCCTGTCTTTTTTTTTATATTGCTGTTTGTGTCCCAGCTGAGGACAGTCAACCTCTCCATGTGTTCATAATCAAATTGTCCAAAATGTTATAGTTGACATCAGAACTAAATGTTCGTGGAACTCTTCCAATTAGGACACCAGTTCCTTTCAATGGCTGTTTAAAAGATGGTTTCCCCTTACTTTGGGGAGATTTTAATTTTTTTACTTCCTCTTGTGTCTCAATGACAGAAAGTGAAGGGAAATTTCCCCAACGGGAAACAGACAACCACAAAAATCCAGCAGGGGTTCAATCCTTCAATACTTAATCCAAAAGTAGGAAAACCTTCAATTCTTCTGTGCTTACCCACAGTGAATGCTGGGTGCCTGAGTAGCCAATCACCAGGCCCAAGAATTTTCACATGGGCACAGGGAAAGGGTGTTGAGACCAGTGAAAACACCAACTAGAGCAGTCTATCACAAACTGTTTCTTCTTCTACCAGTGGGTAAATGGTGAGGCATAGGCAAAGCACATATTCACTTTAAATATTAAAGTACAACTAAAGGGTCCTGCATGACATTCTAAACAAGTCCTAAATGCAGTTACTATGCAATGCACAAGTCTCATAAGGAGACTTTCTTTACCTTTTCTGACTCAGAAATCCTCCTTCATTTGTTCTTCACATGCCTCCCCCCTGTCCTAAACACTGCAGCTCACATTGAGAGGATTTCAGCAACAGAGGCAGTACCGTCAATCTAGAAAGCAGTGGGCAGGACTAGTTGTGGCCAGGTACTGATTGGCAAGCTACGGGCTTGTGAATTAGCAGTAACAATGCTGATAGCCACGCCCCCCTGCAACATTTTCTCATCCACTTTAGTACAAACAGGCACTGCATATATGAGAGTGGCAACTCTGCTCTGACATCAGGAGCAGTGCAGCATTGTTGCCACACCATCACTGCAAGTTGCATTAGTTGGGCTTCAGCAACAAGAGCAACAGGTATCTGTGGGACTTTGCTGAAAACTGTAGGTGCAGAAGTGTTGTGGCCAAATGGTTTTTTTTTTTTTAGTTTGTAGCTTTTCTTTAAGTGCTCATGACCATTAGAGGTATGCCATTCCCAAATATGGGCCACTGTGCTTTATTTGCTTGAGCAGCTTTATAGCACTATTCCAGCACTAATGAGCTACATCCACGGTAGGAAATGTAGCTGGAAAGCTCTGGAAAGGAGGTTATGCCCCTGATGGGGTTTTGCTGCCTCCGCTACACCTATTTCCCTGTTCATATCTATTTATTTCTTCTTTTATCTCTTGATCAAAATTATTCTCGGTTTACAAGTCCTGCTCTAGCTCTTAGGAATTAAATTGAATAAACAATGAGTTTTCTGTGTTTTCATTCCTCTGTTCATTTGTGTTTTATTTTTTTTCTCTTCTCTCCCCTTCTAGGTCAATGAGAATGCAAAGCAGGATTTGAAAGACGGTTTATTGCTTTACAATACGGAGAATAATGTCGGGTTGAAGAATGCATGGAACATTATTCAGGCTGAAGTGGGTTTCTCTACTTTTCATACATGTCTGAGGAATGTGGAAAATGCAGTGTTGGTTAGAAATAAGATTTGTGGATATTACCACACAGACATAAAGATGATTTCTGATTTTCTTTCAAATTAAAAAAAAAGGAAACATTTTAAAGCTGAATGTGTAACAATGAGATGAATGTGCATATTTCATGTTTTGTAGACATAAAAATGAGTTTACTAAATGTCTGTATTCTGGGGTCAAAAATAATGACTATGTTACAAAAACCACCTAGCCGCTTCTATAGACTGTTTAGCCATGTCTGTAACACTGCTATCTTAATAAGCTCCTCCTGCCTCATTTTTCTACTTTGTGTCAGAGACATATAAATATAATCAGAAGGCTCTTTAAAATATAATGTACTTTGATGTAAAAGAAGATTCTCTAAAGTAATCCCAGTGTATAGGCAAACTGTTGTGTCCAGAACTCCCTTTGGATTCATACTTCAGTGTTTATCCATACCCCTTGGCCAATGGCATATACAATCACAGGTTGAAGAGGGATAGTTTAGGCTATGACCTTGCTCTTAAAAGGGTTTCTCCTTTTGCTGATAGTAAGTTCAATGATGGCTTGCCGTGCAATTGTTTCCATTCCGCTAATCTGCCCCATTCATGCCATTGGCACCAAGTACCATTTTATGAACCTGCACCTATATTAATCATTCTAAAGTGTGATTTCTAACTATAGCTATCAAAACATTGTCTGATGGTTCCTCAGTTAAAGTGAGCCCCTAAACCAAGTAAAATAGAAATAGCACCAATGTTCTTGTCTTCTAAAGCACTTGCCTAGTTGAGATGAAATAAAATGAAGAGGCATCTCACTAGCATTTAATGCTTGCAGGGGATTATTACATGTGCCAAATCGCCCATTGCCTTCAGAGACTTTAAACAACAAGACTTCCTCACCATAGTTCCTAGTTCTGAGAAGGACCTAAAAAAGGGCATGACTGTAGCCAACTCAAACTTTTTAGAGCACAGGGGGCCAGAGTTGTATGGCTACACAATGATGTGTGCAGACAGAAGTAGCATTTGGCAAATACCTTTGAATAAAATTACTATATATACAGTATATGAAAGCAATGTGTATTTTATATTATTTTGGATAGGGAATAGAGAGGCAGGGGGACCTTTACATAAAGTCTAAAGCTAGCCATACACAGTTTGGGTTTTGACCAGTTCTTGCTGAATCAGCTGGGTGGCCCTATCAAAATCAGCTGAGCCACGTGGGAAATTCTCAGCCCAACAGTGACCGTGTCTTATCAAATGCAGTCACTGTTCAGGTATTTATTCAGCTGCAGGTGCTGCAACTGTCAGAATTCAATAGCTGGCAGGGGAGATTCCTCCATCCACACTGTTTAGCATGGATAAAAGAGTACATTGATTTTCTCTTGTTCAGTCTGTGGGGTACAAATGCATGGCTGGGTTAGGAGTTCATGTTTGCAGTTGTATAGGAGACTGTCCACACCCCTTTAGCCCTTTAGAATACCTCTTGCTTGAAAGGATTTATTTAACCCTAAATGCGTTGGTCATTCTGTGTACCTTGTTTGCTGAAATGGAACTTGTGCTATTTAGATTCCTCGCACTGTCCTCAGCAAATAGGCAGCCCAATGTGGGAGGGCCCTAACCAGCCTGATAAAAGCCATCTACACTAAACTCCCAGACCAGATGAAACATTTTGGGTCCCCAGGAACTTATTGCTATAACATGCTAGTATGCACAGCATTTTAACACACACAGTATAGCAAACTTGCCATAGCAAAGTGATCCACTTCAGCCCTGTAAAGTCAGCGCTCTCTTCTGTTGCTTCTAACCTTCTCCTGGTCTTCTGGGTTTGGAGTGTTCAGCCTCCATTGGCTGGGCCAGATACCATAACTCCTATATATACAAACGTGAGCTATACATACGCTGCTCTGTGCACACTTACAGAAAAATAGCACTGAATAGACATCCACAGTCTCTTCCGTCATAAAAAAGCCTGCCTGGCAGTATTTTTTACAGAATTAACTTTAGTTCACTTTAATTGGACCTGTTGCATTCAAAGAAATACAAAGCAGGTCAGAGCTAGCTGCAAAATGGTGATCCACACTAGACCATTAAAGTAAATAGAACTCATTTGCAGACTTCTGCTTAAAGTGCTTCTTTCAAATCATTTTAATCACAGGAGGAAAATAAACATCTACATGAGCCCTTATAGTAGTTGGTGGTTGGGTGTAGCTGAGAACCCATGTGTAACAAGTCATTGGGTGAATCAGCCGCTCTGCAGTCTTTGAATACATTGACCTTTGAAACCTAACAGTAAAGAAAGGCCTCTATCCCTGCAAATATTTTGCATAGCATGCTTTCCCATGAAACAAACTAATGGATACAATTTTATTGACATGTTTATGATGACTTCTATCTGTTTTTAACAGATGCATTGCTGCGGGGTAACAGATTACACAGACTGGTACCCAGTACTGGGAGAGAACACAGTTCCTGATCGATGCTGTATGGAGAATTCCCAGGACTGTGGTCACAACTCTACAGGCTTAGTGTGGAGAACGGTAAGTCTTATTCACACATTAGGGATTATTACAGCTTTTTATCTGCATTTTTGAGGTTACATTCTCATCCTGGTCCAGTGAGGCTTGAAAAATTGTATTAGGTCCCTGTGGCAGTTGTTCCTTCCTGCATTTGTTCATTGAAATGCATTTGGGTGTTTAGGCTACTCCTATTACATTTTTCATGCTATAAAAAAAATAAAAAATCCAGGAGAAAGTGACAACCCCTTGTAATGGGCACAGCAGGTGTGCAAACCTCAGAAAACAGTGCAGAGATCTCTTCCTTAGAGTCCACAAGCAATAATGTTAACTCTTGGGTGGTTTAACTCTCCAGCATCTACCGAAAACTGAAATATCAGTTTTGGTGGATTGCTCTTTTATTTTCTGAAACCTTTCTGGTGGTATTTAATAATGCCTGTAAATGTTAAAAAGTGGGCTTTTACCATGTTTACGCATAGGAAAACATTCAGAAATGTTTTTTTAATTAATTTTTGTTACTTTTCTCTTTAGGGTTGTTATGAGAAAGTGAAAATTTGGTTTGATGACAACAAGCATGTTCTTGGTACAATTGGGATGTGTATTCTCATAATACAGGTATGCAGAGGCTAATACAAAGTGCTGTTGTATGAGGTTGACATATACATATAATAAATATACATGTACCATGCAGTTAATTGAAAAGATACTTGTGTCAGTCATGTTCAGCCTCTCCTCACTCTCCACAATTTTGGTCCAGGCAAAAGCAATACAAGACCTCTTGGGCAGATGTTTCCAGGATTGCCACGCCAAGCAGGAGATTGTTTCTTTACATAACAAAGGATGTTTGATTAATTCCCTAGCTGGAAATATTAGCCCTTTAGTAATTATAATTGTGGTTATCCATAGTTTAATGTTGCCATTTAAGAAAACCCATGAAAAAATGTAAGTGGTACTCTAAACCAGGCCCTAGTCTACAGGGGCCTATACACTGCCTCTGCTCCCCTTTAGGGAATCTCACAACCTCTGAAACTAGGGGTACTCTGTAAATCAATTGCAGATGAAGCTTTCTGGTCAGTGGCACTGACCCCACCCCTTAATGCCTTAATATTGATCATTGCAGCTGCCAGAGACAATGTGCTAGTACTTAGTGATGCCTACTTTTTACAGTAAGTGCCCAAGTACCCAACTTTAGAACCCCCCCCCAGGGCTGAATTAAGGTGGCCATACATATAACGATTTGTGATTGATTTAGATATGAGCGATCCCAAACAAACTACCATCAATGTAACATGGACTGTATTGTCCTGCATCTTGCATTTGACTGGAAATATAAATCAAAAATGCAGTCTATTGGGTATGAATGTAAACAATGTACTTAAATCAAAAATTCAATCAGTCCAAAGTGCAATCAGTTCTGTGGCACACATGTGAACATGTGCCCCATCAGAAGTTATCAACAAAATTCCACCAGAGCCATTCATTTTGGCAGCTTTGAAATTTATTGAAAAATGTTTGGTCCGTACTTTTTATTCAATTTGATCATTTGCAATAATTGATCGATTGTATGATCATATCGATACATGTGTGGCCACCTCTAAATATATTCATTAAGTGGCTTATTAAGATATATTTTTTTCAAAATGAAAATACTTTGTTTTTACAATCTTTCTTTGTGAGTTAAATGTTTCCTTTTTATTACCCTCAAGGCTATGTAAACCTAAAAACATAAATTTTATATATTGCAGTTTAGTCTTTAGATGTGGCGATTGGTTTAGTTTTTAGTCTATGATCATTTTCAGAAAGTACAAAAAATACCAGAAATGCAGTGTCCTTGTCACTGAAAATAAATCACAAACATCCTTATCTTTGTTGTGTAAACTATCGGTCCCATCAATAAATCATAATTGGAGATGATCAGAGGTAGATATGTTTGTAGTCCAGCATGGGTGACAACCATGGATCCTTCCCTTGATACAGTGAAGAAATGAGTATAGCATAAAGGGACAGGAATTGTGTTATTTATAGAATCACAGGTAAAAATAAAAGGAAAAGAGGCTGAAAAGAAATAAAAGAAAGGTAATATTGTAAGCTGCTGAATAATAATAGAGCCTGTCTCAATAACCACAAGCTGACTTGTGGTCATCAGGCCATCAGTATTTTGGTACAGAGGTCTACAGCTATACCTATTTCTAAATGAACCTAGAACCGCATTGACCTCTTTTTTTGTGATTGGTATTACAGTACAGGTGCCCTTTAATGCTCATTCACTTCTTTAATAACCAAGTCGGAGGAAAAATACAACCTGCTGTGCAGTCCTTGTAAAAGCTTCCTACCTAAGCCTTCAAACAACCTTTTATTCTTCTGTTATTTTTTTAAATAGGTCACTTCTCTCAGGATCTTGGAATATATTGTACTGCTAAATGTGACTACCCTTAAGGCCTTTATGGCTAGCCCAGGGAACAGCTAGTAATGTTAATTAATGACATTTACAGTTGAAGAATAAACTATATAATCTTAAAGTACCATCTAAAAGTACACATTTATTGAAACCAAGGAACACCTTTAAAAACTAAGAGCATAAAGTATGCCCATAGACATCCAAAGGCGGTTGGTCAAGCATTTCTTAACAGTTCAGCAAAAAAAATATTTTTTGTACAGTGTTTTTGGAACATTTTTCCAGCAGAAAAAAACCCTAAACGCTCCTAAATAGCTTTTTTATAGTTTTTTTTTTCCCTCTACATGTACTGTAAAAACGCTAATAAAATGTTAATTCTTCTAAATGCTCCTAAACGTGTCTGAACGCTACTAAACCGCTACTAAAAATGCTATTACCAGCCAGCATTTTTTCCAACATTTTTTTAACTTAAAAAAATGCTAGTGTGCATGGAGCCTTAAAACAAAGATGACCTCTGTATTTGCAGCCACTATGGAGCAATTCTTCCTCAAAGTTCAGAAACAGTACTTTGGGAGTAGGGGTCTTAAAAATAAGCTGCCCTTGCATTTTCATGCAAGGTCTGCTTTGTTATTGGACCACAAGTGTACTTTAACTGACATTATAAAAATTCTCAGCTATTGAGGAAACATTTACATTTTTGAGACTTGGTAAAGTAATTCATATTAGCAAATCTGAAAAGCTATATAAATAGGTAAAAGCTGCATCACTGCAGCTTAGTTCTTGAATGTTGCTTAATAACAGTATACTGAAGAGATATTTTTGTACTGGGGTAGACGTTGTTAATGTTCGCTCAATTGCGTTTACAGCACCTCTCTGCGAATAGCGTTGTTTAACTTTGTTTAAATTCAGCCTCAATGGAGCAAGCACAAGTTTAAATTTGCCTAAAAGGACATCGCTTTTGCCTTTATTGTTTACAAGCTCAATTAAGCTTTATTTAAGCCCAAATACCTTTGGTGCAAAATGTATATGAGGCGAAGATGGCCGAATGTGCAACTGCAGTAGCGGGAATTTAGTATATGCCTCGTTTAACCTTCAGAAATATGAGTATTTCCACAGATGCATCTTGCAAAGACAGATAGATAGGTTTTATCTTTAAAGAGAAGTGGTTATGTAGATTACAACTGTCACAGGACCAAAAGACATAATTTATCAAAATGTTAGGTTGGTCCTTGTTGCCCTCTGCATCTAGTCTGATTCACTGACTTAACCTCCACTCCATACTGCAATGGACAGGTACTATTTGGTTGCTTTCAAACACTTCATATACGCCCCATACTTTGGCTGTCATAGTAGTTTCTGATAAAGTTTAAGAAAGTTATGCTGGCCTTTAGGGGACAGTCATCCTCTAATCCAGGGGTCTCCAAATATTCTAAACCATGGGCCAGTTTATTGTCCTTCAGACTTTAGGGGGGGCCGGACTGTGGCCAGCAGAAGTGGAGATTTTCCTGGCATCAGTGGGAATAAACATCGCAACATTTGGTATTAGGGGGAAGAATAGTGCCCCATCTTTGGTATCATTGGGAGGAATAGTGCCTCATTGTGTCAGTGTGAGAAATGTTGCCCCATTGTTAACGTCAGTTGGCTGAATAGTGTCTCCTATCAGTGGGAAGAATAGTGCCCCAGGGGCCATGTAAAGGCAAGCAAAGGGCTGCATCCAGCCCCTGGGCCACAGTTTGAAGACCACTGCTGTAAACCATGTTGATAGCAAAATTCCCATTGAAACCCACTGGGTGATCAAAGGTTTCCAAGTTTGGTGGTCCACTGCACACGCTGTGGTGTACTGTCTGGAACCTCCATGACTTCTGACTCTGATGCTAAGCAAACCATTTTTTGCAGGAAAGTACTGTATATTCACTGTCAATTTTTCTTATTTTTTTGCAACAGAAAGTTAGTGGAAATCTCCCCAAACTGAAGTGAAATCCCTTCCTAAATAGTTTTCAGCAGAACAGTAAAATGTCCCCCAACTCCTGTCCCAATGATAGCTATTACATTTTATTACTCATCCCTTTCTGTCTCAGTGACAGTTGTCACCAGGACAAATAAAGAAGATAAATCTTCCCATTGGGGATACAGACAGCAATAACAACCTGACCAAATTCTAACCCTTACCTACTAAAAAAAAAAAAAAAAGGTTGCTTATAGGTACACTTCAAGCGCTATCTATGCCTCAAAATAATGTATATGCAGCCACTAGTAAGTATTTTGGGTATGAGGCATAATAAAAATAATGTTAATGTTAATTTTTTAATGCAGAGCAGATTTTATGTCCTATCCATTGGATATGTTTCTAGGTGCTTACTAATTACCTCCAGACATGACAATATATCATAGATGAAGGGTCTGCACTATAACGGCTCTCTACTGTCAGCATTTGTACAAGCTAACATTTTTAAGCAGGAAATTATCTTAATCCCCATGGCAATCTAAGATCTCAGCACACTGTCAAGTTCGTTTTTTTGCCTCGTTCTGTAATCTTAAACAGTTTTCACAACCACATCAACCTAGAAACTGTCTAAATGTTAATATATATAACAACTGTTTTTTGGTTTCCAAAATGTGCTTGTTGACTTGGGAGGAAAAGTGTAGCATGGTTTTTAGGAAAGCCTATAGGCAAATGTCTTGCATGCTTACCTGTAACCTCCAGGAACATATAATTTTAAGAGCAAATCTTAAATTATCTATAATATTCTATTATGGTCATCCAATTATGTTAATATCTTATCCTAAAGCAAGTTTGTGGGGTTTTCAATGTTTGCAGCATTTCCATGCAAAGGCAGGAAATTCCTGGTAGCTGCAGGTATGCATACATTAGTCATAGAACACCCCAAATTCATAGCAGTTAGGTTTGGTCTGGTGCACAGTAAGCTGCACACTCACTTATAATGGCTCCAGTGGGTCAGTGACAACTGTGGTTCAGAATAAAGCCCAGGAACTGAATCAACCAGCTGCTGGGCTTGATATCTATAATAAAGCATTACATACGGTGCAGTGCAACATAATGCCTCGACATTGTATTTAAAGGGAAAGTGTTCTCTAACATTATCAGCACTTGCTGTTACTCCAGCATGCATGTTTAGACAAAGTTGACCTGATCCAGTTCTGTCCTGCCAGTCCCCATGATTAAGCTCATGGGGCGGAGTGAAATGCATTGGGGGTGTGGCCTGGCTGGAGTCCAAGCTGAAACTGCCATTCATGTCACCTCATACACATGAGTCTGCCTTTGATGTGCAGCTTATGAATCTTTCCTTCTGACATGATATCAGATCACTGCAATGTTTATCTGTTACTTACTGAGAGCAGCAAGGAATACATCACTATTATTGGTTGGTAGTCAAATGATCACAATCCACTTCCTGTGAGCCCAGGTTGTCAAGGACACACCTCTGAAGTATCATCATCGAGCTACGCTGAACTCACAGGGGAATGCTGCAGAGAGCTGTGCCACACCATTTTCTGCACCATTCGGGACCCGACTACTAATGTCAGAAGAGAACCCATGACATCATAGACTGAATACCCCAGAAAATAAATCAGCTATCTGTAAAAAAAATATTGCTGGAGATAGAATTTTGGACAGTGGAGGGTTTACGCTGAACATTGGAGCAAAGCTTTCTTATAAAATGATTTAAATATGTAAAATACAACAGAAAACAGTAATATCATATGCACATGCAGCTTATTATTTAGTAAATTGCAAACATTATACTTGATCACAAAAGTGAGGAAACAAGGCATGTTAATGAAAATACCGCTTGACTTGCATTAGTAAATTGACCCCACAGCTATTCTTCTATTTTAACTCTTGGAACAAGTGGGATTAATATAAGGACAGAGATTAATGTGAAAAGGGTCAATTTATGGGCCAAAGAATTATTATTGCCTGTTGAGAGAGAGTGTCAGTTTTGGACCACGGTAAAGGGCTTTTTGTCATTTAAACATGCTGCTTGAAATCATTTTTGCCAAGGTCTTCCCTCATGTCACCATCTCTAAATGAATAGAAATATAAGAGTCCATGGAATTAGCATTGCTTTGATGAGAATATCTTTTATATAAGTAGCTAAGTAAACAAGCCTTCTCTACCTTAGATACAAGACAGGCACATCTGTAAGCTGCAATTAAATGTAAACTAATCCCATCATATAAACTGAATATGATAATCCATAAAGGTTTTTTTAGACTTGCATATAATGTTCACTCTTGCCATTTGTCGGCTTTTTATTTTTAGATACTCGGAATGGCTTTCTCCATGACTCTGTTCCAGCAGATACATAGGACTGGTAAAAAGTATGATGCTTAGAGGGATTTTCTACTTTTCATTTGTACCATTCTACTTTGCCATAAAGAACATCAACAACCAAGGAATCCAGATGACCTTTGCAGGACCGCTGCCCCACCTTTACTCCCAAACTCTTGGCCGAAACTTGTTACTCTTTTTTGTGTATTATTGCATCTGCTATTAATTTGCCAAAGAAGACAAAAAAAAATAGAGCTGGTTTCCTAAAATGTGTTCTGCTCTAACACTCTCCTCGAACTTCTCGAAACAAGCTTTGCGTACTAATATACTTAAGACTTCTGCCAATACATGACGGATATGCTTATGCTTCTGAGACTTTTTAAAACGATGAACGTTCTGAATAAAAAAATGAAAGACTTTTTGAAGCCATCGAAAACTGGATTCCGTTGAAAAGGGCCGGTTTTGCATGGAACTGACTGAAATGGTTTTTTGTACCTTATCAGAGATGTTTTGTTACAGACTATGATTAGGACTAGACTTTTGATTTAAGTAATTTTAAACTTTTAATTCTTTTTTTTTTTTCTCGTTGTTATTCATTTTACTTGGATTTTTCACAACACAATTCTGTGTGATCTTTAAAGGACTGTTCCTACTGTAAGTAGGTTTGAAAAGGAGCATTAGGGGCTGAATTGCATAGATGCATCAAAGTCGTTAACAAAAACAATTTCCTTGTAAATTGTAGCCAAGTGATCTGAAGCTATACAACCATAAGTTAGGTTTGCACACAAGTACTTTTAATATTATATGTATGCTAATACTGAATTTTTCTCTTAATCAAAATATTAGACCCAGTTTCACAAATTGATTTTTTTATTAATGTTTAAAGCAACAATCCATTCATATTATTGTTTGTATTTGTTTTTTTATTTCTCTTTTGCATATTTATATTCTCATCAGAGGCATTAACATACTTGAGAAAAAAAACGTAAGTTTAAATTCCAGAAGGACTTAGAAAGACGGTCTAACTTTTGTGAAACCAGACAGTTATATTATACTTGGAGAGATTACCATCTATGCTGTGTGCTTTAAAAACAGAATTCAGCAAGTAGTCCATGAGTATTCGAAGATAACGTAATGTTGGAAGGCATAATTCGTTTTGACTATTGTCTGAGGAAGTTTTACATTTTGGAACTAAGTGATTAAGAAGTCATAAGTGTACCTGAAACATACATGGTAGCTGCAGCAGTCATTTCATCAGTTGAACCATTATTCCAAATGTTACAATTAATTAGGGGTTGGAAAACCAGTTGTATTTACAGAGGTAGCCCTTGTATGGCCTAAGGCAAAGCTGAACTCTTGGCAAACTTCTGAACACACATATGACACATAGATATATTAACTGATTTATCTGCCAAAAGATTTGTATTTCTGTCAAGCCAGTCCTCACAACACAGCTCTGCCACACAGCACAGCCAGATAGATGACACCACTTACAGTAAAGCAGTAATGTGGTGTCTAATCTCCACTGAAATCCTTCTGACAGGATAGTGAAGAAGCAGCAGCAGACTGATGAGGTCATTCCTCTGTTCACTCTGCTCTCTCCTACTATCAGCATTGTCAGTGTATTTGCATGCAGCACATGTGATTGGCTACCAGACATGTCCTGCCCCTTCCTCTCACAGTCTGAGTGCTGTTGAATAGGGGATTGCAAGAGGATTTGTAGGCCTGACTGGCTAAGCAGCAGCAGACTGATGAGGTCATTCCTCTGTTCACTCTGCTCTCTCCTACTATCAGCATTATCCTTGTCGGTGTATTTGCATGCAGCACATGTGATTGGTTCCCAGACATGTCCTGCCCCTTCCTCTCACAGTCTGAGTGCTGCTGAATAGGGGATTGCAAGAGGATTTGTAGGCCTGACTGGCTAACCTTGGATCTAGTTTCATACTCACACTGGTTTATTAAAACAAAATATATAATCTTTAATATGTGTGATTTATATTTGCATGGAGTTCAACTTTTATTATTCCAAATAATATCTCTTGTTCATTTACTAAGAGTTCATTTGTTCATTTACTAAGAGCTAGTTACCCCATTGAAGCATTTTATTGGGTGAATTAATACTCAGATTAGAGAATTATAGCCTGTTTACTAGGAAACACTGATGTCAGTTTGGTGGAGTTACACTTAAAGGATAGCAGTTAATTTCCACAAGGAACCATTACCATCAGACAGATGTTAGATTTTAGCACAGGTGGTACTTAATGAATACTGATTGTGAGAGAATATGGAGTCCTCCATTGCTATCCTTTTCTCCTGAAAATTCTGGTTGCTTGGCTTGCAAGCTGTTTCTATGAGGTCCAGACCTGGAAGTATGCTAATATGGAGGTCGGAGTTAATTCCGACTTTGCAATCTGCATGCTTGTTTCTGGTCAGTGACTGAGAAAGTTTAAAAGCCAAGGATAGCCAAGCAGCCAATATACTTAGGAAGAACAATAGTAACCCCAATATTTTTATCACTGCAGAGTTCTTGTAAGATAAACCATTGAAGCAACCATTTGTAGACCTGATTGGCAATCCTTGGGATCTAGCCTGCCTATTCACCAGAAACCGGTTATATTACTGTAGTAAATTGTTCCATGCTTCTTGCTGCCCTATCTGACCATACCTGTTCATAGAGGTTTTTGTAATCTTTATTGCGTCCTCTCTCATGTCACAGCTCTGTAGCAATCCCTAGATAGCAGCTATGAAAGTCTGTGTAAAAATGCACTTTTCTCACTTTAACTTTCACTTTAACTTCCTTAATACCGTGTCTTCTGATTGGCTGGACATATTATTCTTTATTGGCTCAGGCAATAGAAAAAAAAGACAAACAAATCCAGTCATTTAAGAATGAAGGTATGATGTAATTGTATCCCTTCAGACTCTGTAAGAATCTGCTGTACCTTCAAAAGCCTGATCTTCAGTCTGAGTTTTCACAGCTGCTACCTAGAGGTAGCTATAGAGCTATGACATGAGAATGAGAGAAAGGATAGCAAGAAGAATGGCATGGTTCACTTTAAGCAGCTATTTTATGGGCCGAGTTAAGACTTTGAACTCAGCCCACCCTTACTTTAGCAAAAGCGATGTGAGTAATGTATGCATTGTGTGGTCTGAGTTTGTACTCCTGTAAATCCAGCTTGCCTATTTATAAAGACCTAGAAATACCACTAAGGCAGCCGTTTTGTGGCTTGACATACACCAGCCTGCCTAACCTTTGGTAGCCATAGATATCACTGAGGCCATCTTTGCATGGATTGTTGCTTTACCAAGTGAAAGGTTACCAGATAGACAAAGAACAGAACTGTAACTTTGCACATATTTTCTGTTGCTATATTACATTGAGTAAACCTTGTACAATATTTCATAGGACATTCCTGCTTAATACTTCAGCACATACCTCTAGTTTCAATGCTGCTTCTTTTAACAATGCCCAGAATTTGATCTTTGGTGCGGGCATTACTTACATTTTGCTGCTTCACAAAGTCACAACAATGAATATGGAATATGTGATGGATAATGATGTTCTGTTACTCCCCTGTTGTAGCAGCAGTGGCAACACCTGCTTGTATTACAACCACAACAAGCTTACTAAACGGCTTCCAGTTGAGGCAGGTGATATGCATGAATGTCACTTATTTCCATGGCACCTACCCAAGACCCATACAGTGCAGGTCTCCATGGCAGTGTTCTTGATCTGGGAGCAAATTTCCCATAGACATGCAGGGTGCCACCTCTTCCTCTCCGCTGAGAAGCTGTTTAGTGGAGTAATCTTTAGAAAAATAAACTTTATTAATAAAAGTCACATCATTCTGTTGGACAGTCTCTTTTGTAAGGGCCAAAATGCCCTATGCCTTGTACAACTGAAGAAAGATTGTGAACCATCTGCAAATCTGATGTTCCCATTCTTGGTAAGAGTGCTAGAAAAGGAAAAGTTGGTTGCTGAATGTTGACCTATCAACCATTCAGATTGTTCCTTTCTAAGTAATTGCACTAGAAATGGGATAGTTGGTTGATTGGATCAATAGAGTTCATTCTTCAGATGCTTCCAGTCACAAATCCTTCCCATCAGTAATTCCTACTAGAAATAAAAGACATTCTGATAAAATGCAGAAGTAATTGAGGCAATACATTAGTAAATTCTGCAGATCATTCGGTGGCATAACTGTAGACTTTTTTTTGCTTGTAACTGGTTCCAGCTACAGACTATATACTAGTTTACAGGTTTTTTCAGAACAATCCACCTTCTGCCAATTTTTACCCCGTTGTGCGGGGGGCATTCACTAGCAACCACTTTATATGTTAGAGCCTTGAACATAAATTTGTTTTATAAAAATTGGCTATTCCACTTCAGCAAAATTAGACTTTGTCTGATATTGCAGATACATAAAAGTCTAAATAAGCAGGTGCCACTTCTGCTACTTCAAACTCTGAAATCAATGAGCTACAACAGCTATACTGTTATATGTAAACACCATGCAGAGTTCTTGTTTGCATTTATTCTTTCCTTGATTTCTTGACTTGAATGAGGTGCAGTAGCTTTTACAAGTGTTATTGGTGGCTTATAGCTATTCTGTCTAAAACATTACATATATCTTTTTTATTATGACACAAAGTTGACTTGTAGTTGACGTTCTCCTTTTAAAACTAATCAGACTTCCTCTGTTTTTCATTGATTCAATTTAACCAGCTACACTTTGTGGTCAAAGGTATGTGGACACCCTTCCAAATTATTGAGTTCAGGTGTTTCCAGTGAAGGGTACTGTTATGCTAAAGCATACAAAAACACTTTGGACCATTATGCACTTCTATCCTTGTGTCAACAGTTTAGGAAAGTCCTATTTCTGCCCCAGTGTGATTGTGGACCTGTGCCTAAAGCCAAATCCATAAAGGCATGATTAGATGAGTTTTGTGTAGAGGAGCTCAAGTAACCTGCATGAAGCTCTGATCTCAACCCTACCAAACACCTTTGGGATGAATTGGAATGTCGATTGTGATAAAGGATCTTCTCGTCCAACATTAGTACC